TATATATATATATATATATATATTATCTATTAGAGAGAAAAGTGTTAAAATTTAAATACCAATTTAAATATTTTATTTTATTTTATCCGAAACTTTTAACATTGTCACTTCTTTTAAAAGTCTCAATGTTCATCATAAATTTTATTCCATCAACATAATCCGGTAGTATTTTTTTTTCCTTTTGAAGAATTCACTCACACGTTAGTATTTAGTGTTACACATTAATTCAACTTATAGATAGTCTTGTTTTGTATCCCAATTCTTAATAAAAACATTAATTTTTTCTTCAATTTTTCCGCTTTATTTATTCAATGAAAGATAACTAATCTCTGCTTAAATGTGAAGATTATGAAAAATAAATTTTCTTTAACTCTCTAACCCATCCTATCAATGTTGTCAAGAACATAAATATTACTTTTTTCCCCATATTTTTCTCTTTATTTTCCACTTTTTGGTATTTTTTGTGCAAATATAATCTAAGTACTGATATTAATTATTAAGGATATAAATTAATGTAATAAGTTGTTAAAAATATTTAATCTTCGAAAATATGAAGAAAAAAAAAACATTTTTTTTTTAACTTTTTCGCTTTTAAATAGTTGAAATTTACCCTCAACATGACCAGTAAATTAATTTAAGGTGGTGGTCGTCTTAAAAAGTAGAGGGAGGAGTACGAACTGCAGAGACACTATTTTGAAATTGTTACTGGATTGCGTTAGAATGAGTGTAGTGGGGCATGCATATCGTGAGTGGGATTTCAAAATTTGACTTGCCAATGACGCACCTTTTATCTAGTGTACTCCTTTTCGGAATGAATGATACAACTACCACATCGATATTAAGAAAAGAAAATTTAAATTTTGAATCGGCTCTTAAGTATTTTTTTTTTTTGCAAAATAATTAAGACTAGGAAGGTGGAAAAGACGAATAAATGAATTCTTTTAAGTTGAATTTTCTCATAATTTTATTATGTAAAAGTTGTATTTATTTCTTTTTTCACACAAATTAAATATTTGAAATAATTTTAAAATTAGTTTTTTTTTAAATATTCAATACAATCCATGTTAACGCTATATATCCTACATCTGACATCATTAAAATAGGAAACTATATATCTCGTCCACGCTCAACATACTTGTTCCGGCCAAGGGATGGACT